AAGCTGCAGAGAATAAGAAGGGAACAACAATATGCAAGCTAAATAAAAGAGAAGTTATAGGAAGCTAACTCAATAGAGATAAAATTATATTCCAATTTGGTCTCCCCGTATCCAAATCACAACCTATTTATATAATAAAAGGAAGTTAATTAGACTAGTACATGAAATAAATAAGGAAGCTCAATAGGTACTGCCCTTCCCAACGTTATTAATCTCCTTGGTCATGGAATCTCATGGGTTTAATGATCATCCCTCTAGGAGAAAAACAACAACAACAACAACAACGACAACAAAGCATTTTCCCACTAAGTGGGGTCGGCTATATGAATCCTAGAACGCCATTTCACTCGGTTATGTGTCATTTCCTCTGTTAGATCCAAGTACTCTAAGTTTTTTCTTAGGGTTTCTTCCAAAGTTTTCCTAGGTCTTCCTCTATTGCTTCGGCTCTGAACCTCTGTCCCGTAGTCACATCTTCGAACCAGAGCGTCAGTAGGCCTTCTTTGCACATGTCCAACCACCGTAACCAATTTTCCCTCATTTTTCCTTCAATTTCGGCTACTCCTACTTTACCTCGGATATCCTCATTCCTAATATTGTCCTTTCTCGTGTGCCCACACATTCAACGAAGCATCCTCATTTCTGCTACACCCATTTTATGTACGTGTTGGTGCTTCACTGCCCAACATTCTATGTCATACAGCATCGCCGACCTTATTATCGTCCTATAAAATTTTCCCTTAAGCTTTAGTGGCATACAGCGGTCACACAACATGCCGGATGCACTCTTCCACTTCATCCATCCAGCTTGTATTCTATGGTTGAGGTCTCTATCTAATTCTCCGTTCTTTTGCAAGATAGATTATAGGTAGCGAAAGCGGTCGCTCTTTGGTATTTCCTGATGTCCGATCCTCACCCCTAACTCATTTTGGCCTCCATTTGCACTGAACTTGCACTCCATATATTCTGTCTTTGATCAGCTTAGGCGAAGACCTTTAGATTCCAACACTTCTCTCCAAAGGTTAAGCTTCGTATTTACCCCTTCCTGAGTTTCATCTATCAACATTATATCGTCTGCAAAAAGTATACACCAAGGAATATCATCTTGAATATGTCCTGTTAACTTATCCATTACCAATGCAAAAAATGTAAGGACTTAAAGATGAGCCTTGATGTAACCCTACAGTAATAGGGAAGCTTTCGGTTTGTCTTTCATGAGTTCTTACGGCAGTCTTTGCTCCATCATACATATCCTTTATAGCTTGGATATATGCTACTCGTACTTCTTTCTTCTCTAAAATCCTCCAAATAATGTCTCTTGAGACCCTATCATACGTTTTTTCCAAATCTATAAAGACCATGTGTAAATCATTTTCCCTATCTCTATATCTTTCCATCAATCTTCGTAAGAGATAGATTACCTCTATGGTTGAGCGCCCTGGTATGAACCCGAATTGGTTGTCCGAAACCCATGTCTCTTGCCTCAATCTATGCTCAATGACTCTCTCTCAAAGCTTCATTATATGACTCATTAGCTTAATACCCCTATAGTTCATGCAATTTTGTACGTCGCCCTTATTCTTGTAGATAGGCACCAAAGTGCTCTTTCGCCACTCATTTGGCATCTTTTTCGTTTTCAAAATCCTATTGAAAAGGTTAGTGAGCCATGCTATACCCGTCTCTCCCAAGACCTTCCACACTTTGATCGGTATATCATATGAGCCCATTGCTTTTCTATGCTTCATCATTTTCAAAGCTACAACCACTTCTTCCTTCCTGATTCGACGGTAGAATGAGTAGTTTCTACACTCTTCTGAGTTACTTAACTCCCCCAAAGAAATACCCCTTTCATGTCCTTCATTGAAAAAATTATGAAAATAACCTCTCCATCTGTCTTTGACCGCGTTCTCTGTAGCAAGAACATTTCCATCCTCATCTTTGATGCACCTCACTTGGTTTAGGTCCATTGTCTTCTTTTCTCTTGCTTTAGCTAGTTTATAGATATCCAACTCTCATTTTTTGGTATCTAGTCGCTTATACATATCGTCATAAGCCGCTAGCTTAGCTTCTCTCACAACTTTCTTCGCCTTTTGCTTCGCTCTTCTATACCTTTCACCATTTTCATCGGTCATATCATTGTATAAGGCTTTACAACATTCCTTCTTAGCCTTCACCTTTGTTTATACCTCCTCATTCCACCACCAAGATTCCTTTTGGTGTGGAGCAAAGCCCTTGGACTCTCCTAATACCTCTTTTGCTACTTTTCGAATACAACTAGCCCTGGAATCCCACCTTTGGCTAGCTTCCCCCTCTTTATCCCACACGCATTGGGTGATTACTTTCTCTTTGAAAATGGCTTGTTTTTGTCCTTTTAGATTCCACCATCTAGTCCTTGAGCACTTCCAAGTCTTATTCTTTTTTCTCTCTCTTTTGATATGTACATCCATCACCTACAAGCGATGTTGATTAGCCAAGCTCTCTCTCGGTATAATTTTGCAATCCTTACAAGTTATACGATCCCCTTTCCTCATTAGAAGAAAATCTATTTGTGTTTTTGACGACCCACTCTTGTAGGTGATCACATGTTCTTCTCTCTTCTTAAAGAATGTGTTGGCTAAGAAGATATCATATGCCATTGCAAAATCCAAGATAGCTTCCCCATCCTCATTTCTCTCCCCAAAACCATGGCCACCATGAAAACCTCCATAGTTGCCTTTCTCTTTGCCCACGTGTCCATTTAAATCTCCTCCTATAAATACCTTCTCCGTCTGAGCAATTCCCTACACCACGTCTCCAAGGTCTTTCTAAAATTTCTCCTTTAAACTCGTATGCAACCCTACTTGAGGTGCGTACACACTAATCACATTGATAAGTTCTTGTCTTATTACAATCTTGATTATCATGATTCTATCTCCTACCCTCTTGACATCTACGACATCTTGTGTCAAGGTCTTGTCCACGATGATGCCAACACCATTTCTCGTTCTATTTGTGCCCGAATACCAAAGTTTAAAACCTGAGTTTTCTAGATCCTTTGCCTTAAGACCAACCCATTTAGTTTCTTGTAGGCACATAATATTTATCCTTCTCCTCACCATAACTTTCACTACTTCCATAAATTTTCCTGTTAAGGTTCATATATTCCACGTTCCTAAACGCATTCTACTCTCTTGAACTCTAACCTTCTGTCCTAGCTTCTTCACCTTCACCCGTCTAATAGGATCAAAGTACTTCTTTTGTATGTCCTGTGTAAAGTTGATAGGAGCATATGCTCCCAAACAACTTTGAGTGGAGTCGTTCAAAAAGAAGTTTCTATGACCCCCCTTGCTCATTTAACACTACATCCAAGTGCCGATGGAGATACAACGACCCTTGCTCACTTATCACTGTGCTCGGGCCACACGACTCGCCACGTACGGGTGACATCCTAGCTTTAGCGCGAATTCGTTCTGGATTCATTTTCATAAGGATTCGACGTAACCTAGGAGTGCCAGATGTCGACTACCTGACGCCCTCCCCCTCTTCCTTTATCCAGGCTTGGGACCGGCAATGTAAGATAAACTTACACATGCGGAGTTGATCATCCCCCTAGGACATTCATTGAAAATAGAATATCGTACCTCGGACTTTAATTCTCTCAGCAACTCTTCAAATGGTCCCCCATCAGTGCCCGTAACGTGTTTGATAAAATGCATGACAAAAATGTCGTGTCTTGGACTGGTATGATTTATGGGTATGTTAAAGGTGGGTGTTATGATGATGGTTTGATGATGTTACTGGGTATGCGTCAAGCGGGTCTTAGGGCTAATCAGTTTGGGAATGGGAGTGCGTTGAGGGCGTGTACGGGATTGAGATGTTTTGAAGTAGGGAATCAGATACAAGGGTGTATTGCGGAAGGTAGGTTTGCAGAGAACTTTGTTTGTGCAGAACGCGTTGGTTGATTTTCATTCTAAGTGTGGGAAAATAGAGGATGCCTGTTGTTTGTTTGAGGAAATGTCAGTGAGAGACTTGGTTTTGTGGAATGCTATGATTGGCGACTATGCTGTTCAGGGTTTTGCTAATGACTCATTGCATATGTTCCATTCAATGATGAAGAAGGTGAATGTTTATAATTGTGGCTAAAATTGTAGTGTTTTAAAAAAAAATTCCCGTGTTCTTTTCTTTTCGTGTGTTTCATATTCCTTGAGTAGTGTTTACTTGCCATATTGCCGCATTCACCTTCTGTATATCAATGGCATTGCCCTTTCTTTCTGTAGCATGACCACTGATACATTCAATATAAGGGAAATTATGGTCTAACATTATTTACACCAGTTTTGTGTGTGTGTGTGTGTGTGTGTGTGTGTGTGTGTGTGTGTGTGCACGAGTGTGTTTTTCCTTTTTTGATGTGCTAACTCATAAGAAAATAGTCAAAAATTGGTTTCCCGCTGGAGGTTCCTGCTTGATGTAAAGATACCAACAGATACAGAGAAGATGTATTCTTGCAGAAGAAGAAATATGTATACGAAGAGAGAGAGAGAAAATTTTAGACAAAAAAGATACTTTTTATTTCTTGATTTTTTTCATATCATACAATGATGGTTATGTAGAGTATATATCTAACTAGATTGCTTACTTTCTAAGTTATTACAAAGATTACATGATGACTACACTTGTCACTATTACAACCACAGGATCACAAGCTGTTAAGCTTGCTTTGTATACTGTTATCATCCCCCCTCAATCACAAAAGGAGGTTTGCTCAACCTGAGATTGTAACAATGTGTCCTAAGCAATGGAGTAGACAATCCCTTGGTAAGAATATTGGCAAATTGTTCATTGGAAGAAACAAACTGAAGTTGAAGTAGCTTCTTTGCAACCTTTTCTCGAACAAAATGAATATCAACTTCAATGTGCTTTGTCCGTTGGTGCATAACTGGATTATAAGCCAAGGCTATAACAGAAAGATTGTCACAGAAAAGAGTGACTGGACATGAGACATCAATCCGAATAAACTTCAGAAGTTAAGTGATCCAGTCAATCTCTGCAGCTGTGGATGAAAGTGCTCGGTACTCAGCTTCAGTTGAGGACTTAGAAACGGTATTTTGTTTCTTGTATGACCAAGAGATGGGACTAGACCCTAAATAGACCACCAAACCTATAGTAGACCGTCTGTCATTTGGATCCCCAGCCCAGTCAGCATCACTGAATGCAGTTAAACATAAATCCTTTTTGCTTAGTTGAACACCATAATCCATTGTGCCTTTCAAGTATCTGAGGATTCTCTTCACAGCTATAAAATGAGATTCCATGGGACAATGCATAAACTGACACACTTGATGCAAAGAGAAAGCAACGTTGGGTCTTGTAAATGTAAGACATTGCAGAGCACCCACCACATTTCGATACAATGCTGGATCATGAAAGGGTTTTCCATCATCTTTAAGTAACCTGGTATAAGGCAGACAAGGGGTATTACACGGTTTTGAAAGACCTATATCAGTCTTGTGAAGCAAATCTGAAACATACTTAGACTGTGAAAGGAATAATCCAGTAGAATGATGAGCAATTTGGATCCCTAAGAAGTAATGGAGGGGTCCCAAATATTTAATATCAAATTCTTGAGCTAAAGCCTGTATAACATCAGTAATAGCTACAGTAGCACTGCCTGTGATGATTATATCATCCACATATAGCAAAAGAATGACCACAAAATGTCCAACATGTTTCACAAACAAGAAGAAGTCTAAATATATTGTAAGAAAACCCAGAGAAGGCAAAAAATTGGTAAACCTCTCATTCCAAGCCCTTGGTGCTTGTTTCAAGCTATATAGGGATTTATGTAACTTACAAACATGAGATGGTTGGTAAGAGTTGACAAAACCTGGAGGTTGAGACATATAAACCTCTTCTTGTAAAATGCCATGAAGAAAGGCATTCGTCACATCAAGTTGCCTTTAAGACCAACCAAACTATGCAGCTACAGCCAAAACTAATCTCACAGTTGTAAGTTTAACAACCAGACTAAAAGTCTCCCCATAGTCAATACCCTCTTCTTGATTGAAACCTTTGGCAACAAGTTTTGCCTTATATATAGAAATGTTCCCATCTGCATCTCTTTTAATCTTGAAGACCCACTTACACCCTACCAAATTCTTGTTTGTAGGAAAAGGACCTAAGGACCAAGTTCCTTGAGAATGTAAAGCTGAGAGCTCTTCTTTCATAGCTGCATTCCATACTGAGGATTTAAGAGCAGACTTGTATGTTGAAGGTTCCACCTGAGTGAAATCAGGAGGATTGTCATCTCTAATTGTTGAGAGAAAAACTTTAGGCTTGAAGATGCCACTTTTGGATTTTGTCTGCATGGCATGTGTATTCATAGGTTGGAGAGAATGAACCACTTGCAACCTCTCAGGTTGAAATTCGGAAGAAAACTCAGTGTGATCATGATGATTAAATCCAGAGGACAATTCTACAGCCACAGGGGAATAAGGTAGAATAGATTGTGTTGGCGTTGCAGTAATGGATTCAGGGTATGGTGAGTTAGGAATAGACTCAAGTGTAGGTAAGTTAGAGGCATATGAGATGGAGACAACTTGATTATCATATGTGACAGAAGGCATTGAAATAGAAGATGACAAAATAAAAGGAGGAAAAGATGAGGAATTTGAGATTTTGGGAGACAACATGACATAAGGAAATTCACTCTTATCAAAAATAACATGCCTAAATATACATCTTTTGTTGACTCACTTCATAGCATAGGTAGCCTTTGTATCTAGAAGCATAGCCTAAAAAGACACATTTTGTTGTTTTAGGTTGCAACTTGGTGTTATTGTAAGGTTTTAACAGTGGGAAACAAGAACAACCAAATACCCGAAGATGATTGATAGCTAGTACATCTTTAAACAACAACTCAAATGGAGATTTGTTGTGTAAAACAAGTGTTGGCATTCTGTTAATAAGGTAGACAGCAACTTGGCATGCAAATGACCAGAATTTTGGAGGCAATGAGGCAGTTTGCAAAAGGGTTATAGTTGTTTCAACAATATGCCTATGCTTCCTTTCAGCTAGGCCATTTTGTTCAGGGGTGCATGGACATGAAAGTTGGTGTTTAATACCCTTGGTCACAAGAAACTGTTGAAATGACTTGCTAATATATTCACCTCCCCCATCACTTTGTAAGGTTTTGACAGAAAGAGCAAAGTGATTTAACACAAAATTGTAAAAGGCAATGAAAGTGGAACAAACATCACTTTTATTGATGAGAGGAAAGAGCCAACAATGTCTAGTGCATTCATCAATGAATGTCACATAGTATCTAAAATCCTCCACATAATTACAAGAGGAAGGACCTCATACATCACTATGAACAATATCAAAAGGATGTATAGACTTAGAGACAGATTCACCAAATGGCAATTTACAAAATTTCCCTTCTAGACAAGAGTGACACATCTCAGACTTATGATCAGGTAGATCAGATACATTGCATTTTCTTAAAATTGCAGATACTATAGAATTGGATGGGTGGCCTAATCTATTATGCCATAAACTCGAAGATACATGTTGTCCAAGGAAAGCAGCTTGTACTCTGGGTAAGGAAGAATGATATGAAACTGGTAGGGGAATAGGGTATAATCCATTACTACAATGTCCCTTGAAGAGAATCCTCCATGTGGCTTTGTCCTGGATCCAAAAACAGAAAGCATCATCTATTAACCAGCAGTTATTATCCAGACACAATTTATGCACGGATAACAAATTCTGAGTTAGTTTAGGCACATATAGAACTGAATTAAGATGCAGTGGTTTGAAAGGTGTATGTAGAGTTGATGAACCAATGTGGGAGATTGATAAACCTGCACCACCACCCGCAGTTTGAATTGTCTCATTTGAAGGAAATGGAGAAGCCAATGACAACTGATTTAGGTCAGCAGTCATGTGAGATGTAGCCACAGAATCTGTGAGCCAAATTTGTTGAGGAAGAGCACTGGGAACAAATGATGGAGCAGCAACATGCATAGCTGACACTTACTGAGTGTGTAGGTTGGCATTTCAAAAATGACAGAAATGAGCACTGTGATTCCTTTTTCCACATATTTGATAGCCTTCGGGAATAGAGTTCTCAGTATTTCAAAACCAGCAAGTAACAGCTAGATGTCCAAATTTTCCACAAATTTGACATGGAGTTTGGAAAAATCCTTGTGCCTTTGGTGGAGAGGTACCAAGAATACCAAGAGCATTGTTATGAAAAGAATAAGGCTTTGCATTACTAAACCGGGAATTGTAGTGATACTTGCCTTTACCCTTGTTGTTGTTGTAAGTAGATTTAGAACTAGACCCATTGGACTAATAAAAGCTTCCCTGAGAACTATATGAACCGCCATTTGAGGAAGAACCATTGCTGGAGTAATGAGGACAAGTCGAATTGGACTCAAAGTGAGGAGGCTTAGATGCAGCAGACAAATTGCTAGCTATCATTGCAGATAGGAAAGGAGTAACAGGAACATTAGCAAGCATTGCTTCCTCAGCAAGCAATTGTGAGCGAAGATCTTTCATAAAGATAACATTCTCCCTACCTCTAATAATAGACCTCAATGTATTGTATTCAGAAGACAGACTATTAAGAGTTAAAATCACAATATCATCATCAGCAAATAGAACTCCAGCCGCAGCCAAGTAATCACAAGCTTCTTTAATTCGTTGAAGAAATAAGGAAATAGAATCTGTACCTTTCTTGATATTCTGCAACTCAGATTTCAACTGAAAGATTGTGGCCTGAGTAACAATGGAAAATTGTTCTTTAAAACGCACCTGTAAGTCTCGAGCATTAGTGCTACCGATAGCACACGAAATCGCAGTAAGAGATAATGTGGCCGTGATGAGTTGCATGAGAGCCCGATCATGCATTTTCCAAATCTTAAAAGCATCATTGTTATGCAAATCACTGGAAGACTCAGTTGAATCGCTATGATACCATGGCCTTCGAGAAGAAGCTCCATCTGAAAATGCCATGTGAGGTAATTGGAATCATCAAGTTTCACAGAAACAGAGGATGAAACTGATGAGATGAGAGAGGTAATAGGAGATTGAAGAATCTGCAATTTTGTAGCAGTCATCATGATCCAATATGAATCAAGAATTCGAAGAAAATTTCACTGAGACAAAAAATCAAACACCTGGTGTGCACTATTACAACCACCGAGAACCAGAGAAGAATAGGGGAATGAGAACCCTAAACAAAATCGAGAAATGAAAGAGATAGAGCGGAAGCAGAAGAACCAAGATCAATTAACCTTCAAGCACAAAGCTTTTCCGGCGAATGATACCATGTAAAGATACCAACAGATACAGAGAAGATGTATTCTTGCAGAAGAAGAAATATGTATACGAAGAGAGAGAAAGAGAATTTTAGACGGAGAAGATACTTTTTATTTCTTGATTTTTTTCATATCATACAATGATGGTTATGTAGAGTATATATCTAACTAGATTGCTTACTTTCTAAGCTATTACAAAGATTACATGATGACTACACTTGTCACTATTACAACCACACGATCACAAGCTGTTAAGCTTGCTTTGTATACTGTTATCACTTGAGAAGCATGGTTACAGTAAAGTCTCAATAATCTTGTCATCATGCCTTGAGATTTTTATACCATTCGTATGAATACCTTTACTTTTCCCGTTATTACTCTAGTTATTGTCTGTGACCATTTAACTTAGGCATGATCCCTGATTGCTTCAGCTTGGGTGGTGTGTTGAGAGCTTTAGCCGGAGGTAGTGGTCTTATGAAGGTGAGTCAAATACATGGATTCATCATGCAACTGGGTTTTGGTTCACACAAATCTTTAAGTGGATCCCTAATCGATGCATATGCAAAGTGTGGAAGGCTAGAGAGAGCTCATAAGATATACAGGAGCATGATAAAAAAGGACATTACATCTTGCACGGCACTGATAAATGGATATGCAAGAGAAGGTAACTACAGCGGCGATGTGCTAGACCTCTTTAAAGAAATAACTCTTACGTGCGTGGCACTTGACAGTGTCATATTATGCTCCATGCTTAATGTATGTGCGAAAGTTGCTTCACTGATCTTGGGAAGAAAAATCCATGCCCTTACTTTTAAACACCAACCTTGTCATGATGTGGCCATGGGAAATGCTCTCGTTGATATGTATGCAAAATGCGGAGAAATTGAAGATGCTAACCATGCTTCTGATGAGATGGAGGAAAAGAATGTTATTTCATGGACATCGATGATTTCTGGATATGGAAGGAATGGCTTGGGACATAAGGCAATTGCTTTATATAAAACGATGGAATATGAGGGATTGCAACCTAATGATATCACATTCTTGTCTCTTCTCTTTGCTTGTAGCCATGCTGGACTGACAGTCGAAGGATGGGAATGCTTCAATATTATGCTTAGAAAATACAACATCTCGCCTCGATCTGAGCATTTTTCTTGCATGGTAGACCTTTATGCACGTGCAGGTTTGTTAGACGAAGCTTACAAACTTATGTGTGATATGAACATAAAGCCTAATTCAGCAGTTTGGGGAGCCATTCTTGGGGCATGTAGCATCCATGGTAATAGCTTACTTGGAGAAGTGGTATCAATGCATCTTTGCGATATGGATCCAAAGAATTCAGTTAACTATGTTGTTCTAGGAAGCCTATATGCTGCATTTGGTGCATGGGACAATGCTTTGGAAACTCGAAATTTGATAGAGAATAGAAGTCTGAAAAAAGAACCAGCGCAGAGCCTTTTAGTATCCAAATCAAGTAAAACTGTGCTTTTGCATGCAACTTAAGACAGTAAAACTAGCTTAACGGGTCGGGTTCGGATGACCCATTAACTTAACGAGTCGGATCGAACCCAACTCAAACCCGATAAACCCGACCCATTTACAGGTCTAGATCTGAGAGGTCTGTGTTGTTTTTTTTTTTTTTCCCTGAGTTAAAGAACCTAAATGTACGTTCATAAGGTTTAATCATATGAAACTGCACCTGAGCAGGAAGGTGCACAAGAGAGTTTGGCACTCGGTACGAATATATGATGCTTTCTTAATTTTTTTTTGCTAACATTTTTCGCAATTGAATCTTTATCGTATGAAAGATGAGTTTGGCTATGAAAAATAAGGGGATCTGGATTTGAATATCTAGCCTAGTCCTGGATCCATGTGGAATTGACAAACATCGGTTGGGAGTCTTCCACAAATCCATGCAAACATGAGCGATTGTTCTTAGCGTCTCTCTTATGAAAAAGTAAACTCATCATTTCATTCAAAAGAAATACAACCAGGCCGAACATGACTAGATTGTTGTTTTGATTAAAGTATATAGTCAAAATAATTCTCTTTTGTTAACGTGATGAGTGATGTAAACACAAGAGATATATTCCGTAAAAGATGAGAGATTCTTGCATGCGGACAACCGCATAAGGCATGTGACTCAAATGTAGGTTTGGGTGGGACTAAATACTTGAGAATAACATACATGCAACTAAAACGTCAAGGCAACGATGTCTCAAACCAATCAATCAATACTACGTAGGCAAGTTAAAACATACGATGACAATAGGTTTGAGATATTGTCATTGTGTTCCAATTACATACATATTTTATTATGTTTCGTTTTTTTTATGAGATGATCGGATGACTAACGTGGTACAGTTTCCAAAACCCAATTATATGAATAGTTGAATATCCATATTGCTTTTACCATTCCATTTTCCTTCCATTCAGCTGCAAACCCAATATAAAGGTAAATCTACGAAAAATCTCCATTAAGTTTTGCACGTAGAACTTATAACAAAATTGATAACACCCCTTTGGCGTTCTTCCTGCGTTGAATCACAATCCATATCTGACATGAAATTCAGAGTTGGATCGTTACTGAAGCTCCGCATCTTCCTACCCACATCGCCAAATTTCCAATCTTTCCCCAAAACTTTGTTACCGGCAACGTGGTTTATTTTCACACCCGCCACCTATTCGACAATTTGCCTGACTGAGGAAGAAAGTGCGGGAGAAGACATTGGAGACCAACCAAAGAACTCTCTACAAGTTCTGAAGCAATTGGGCTGTAGTGACACTGAAATTTCGATGATCTCCACGCGGGGGCCTTCTCTACTGAATGCCAACGCGAACCAGCTTGAGTGCAAACTCAAGCTTCTAACTGGCTTGGGCATCACGGCGCCTGAGCTCGTGAAGATTATCATTGGCCGTCCCCGGTTGCTCACTTCTCGGGTTAACCATTGCTTGGATGAGCGGCTCGAGTTCTTTATGACATTGTTTGGATCCAGGGAAGTGCTTGTCAAAGCCATTGTGAGGAACCCTTCTCTCCTGACCTATGACTTTCAGAAGAAAATCAAGCCCGCCATTGCGCTGTACCAAGGAGTCGGTCTTAGTATGCAGGACTTGATCCAAATGGTTCTGTTGCGGCCTACGTTGATCCCAAGAACTTCATTTGATGAAGAAAAGATGGAATATATACGAAAAACCGGGCTTTCAAATGGTTCCAAGATGTATAAGCATGTTGTCACAATCATTGGCGTTTCACGACTTGAAACTATACGTAAGAAAGTTGCAAATTTGGAGAAGTTTGGTTTCTCAGAAGATGAGATTTTTTCCCTTTTCGCAAAGTTCCCCCTTGTGCTGACACTATCGGTCGATAAGGTTCAGAGGAACATGACTTTCATTTTAGGACAAATGAAGCTTCCTGCTACGACGGTTCTTGAGCACCCATGCTTGGTGTTCATGAATTTGGAGGATGTGTTGAAGCCACGAGTACTTCTTGCGCGGAAGGTGCGGGAGATGGGTCTTGATAAAAAGATTGAAGGTCCTATGATGATGAGGGCAATGAGAATGACGGAGAAGCGGTTTTTGAAGGCATTTGTTCGTTGTCACCCAAAGGATGTTGCTGATGAACTGATGGAGTACTACAAAAATGTGAAGGGTGTTAAGCGGTTGGCTGAAGCCTCAAGGACGTTACATCAAGGATTTCCTTTCTGAATGTTTTTGGCTCAGGTTTTCATCTTCGTGTCTAAAACGCATCTTACTGTACAGGTCTCTATACATTTTGTTACGTGAACTTGGAGCAGTTTGCATACATTTGCATTGTTTTTTCTTTATTTGGGGTTCAACCGTTCAAGTAATCCATTATTTGGGGTTCAATGTGTCTTCTTTCACTACAATGCGCTACTCAATAATGTTCGACATTTCATCTGCTGTGAAGGCTGCTGATTTGTTCCGATTGTATAGGGTCATTTGTTGCCGTTTACATTCTTGGGACTGGTAGTGAACTTGACTGCCGCAGTGAAGAGTAACAGTAATGAACTCGATAACAAAGAAGGGTAGTTCTTGGTTATACGGTCGAGAAGGTTGGTTCAACGCACCCAATGTGTTTAGGAAGCATTAGTTGCTCAAACTAACAAACACAGTAGAGGCTCCAAGAGGGGATGGTCTAAGCAAAAAGCACAAGGCGTTTTGCTATCCATGTTACTCACCAAAGCGTGGCAGGTAAGGAGATAATGCAGCTTTCTTCGTTGTTGCATATAAGCGTGACTAGTCTTGTAGCATCGTTGCTTTTTCGATCTTCATTTCTTTTCCGTGGCGAGAAGACGAGACGGGAAGGAGACTTTGATCATTTAGATTTTGAATCGTACTGTAAATATTGATGAACCTGTTGTACAACTTTGTGCTAGGATGCATGAAATTCATCCTTAGCATTGCTTTTGATGGTGTAGTTATATCATACTTCTTCCCACGAATTACCGAAGGTCGTATTCACTACATATAGTTTGAGGCAATTTCAGGGTATTTGAGTACTGTGGACAACATCAAGAAAGGTTTCCTTTCATCTAATCTTAATAGAATGTGAAGATAAATTATCTCAATCTCTTGATCGTGGAAATTCCTTCGCCGTCCGTGGAGGGAGGGACGGTATTGAATTTTGCATCATATGGTAAAATGAAACCCGCACACCACTTCAGCTAGTTGCGTCATATGGTATTAAATTATATATTATTATTGTCATGAGATATTTTGTCAAGCATCTTGTACAACAATAGTAGTTAAAAAAGCATTAAACAGTATCGTGTGTAACAATAGTAAGTCTAGTAGGGCCGATTGTCTACACTGGCCCCTATGTGGTCGGACAGTGTTGGGGAAAAATTTCCATCAAATCCACCAAGCTCGCCAATCCGGACTTTTGAAATTTAATCTAACTGTTAAAGTTATTATAATTTTTAAAAAGTTCTTTATTTGTAGCTGTTAGATCAAATTTCAAGGGTTTTGATTAATGAACTTTGTGAAAGAGATCCGAAAAAGATTTCTTTCTCAAAATTGTTTCCCATATAAAATAGGAAATAAATAATTTTTGGTGGGATTAGCAAAATCTTGGGTGCATTACCACCCGGCCTCAATGCCCTCGTGCCTTGTTCCTTAAACCCTCTCGAAGGCTATCCATGGCTGCCCAGGTCTTCCTCTTTCCCTCTCTGAACATTCACCTCTGAATATCTATTAATTTGCTAATAAATATCTTCTTTCTGTGGATTAGATGGAAAGCTCAAAACTTGGCGCGCCACTCTGAAGAGATGATGAGTATACAGAAACAGTGGCGGTGGTAAATCCTGCAGAAAACGCTTTTCGCCGTTTCGTTTCGATTACATCAGTTCAGAGAGTATCAGGAATCAAGTTTATTGCTGTTGTGGGTATGTAAGAAGATTTGAGTTTCGAATTTTCGGATAAAGCTTACCATTCTTCCTTCTGATTCTTTTACTGCATTGCGATTTCCAAACATTCCTCAGCTAATAACTTGAATTTAATCAATGCCCATTTCTCCATATTGGTCCTTCTGCAAATACAATTTGTTAGTTTTTGCCTGGAGTTCATAAATTCCAATATTGTAGCACTACTGACATGCAATCTAGATTTGGTTCTTTGGTTAAGCAACTTAAGCCCCGACTTTTATTGCCACCCTCTCAAAATTTCGTCACTTTTCCGAAAGTTCTGTACCCAACAAGTGGTTTACTTTTCCCACCCACCACCTATTCGACGGTTTGCCAAGCCAAGGAAGAAAGTGTTGAAGTAGATATCAGAGACCAACCCAAGAATTCTGCAGAAGTTCTGAGGAGCTGGGGTTGTAGTGATATAGACATATCCAAGATGTTCATGCGGCGGCCTGCTTTGCGGAGTACTGACCTTAACCAGCTTCGGTCCAAACTAAACGTTCTAAGTGGCTTGGGCATTACTGCACCTCAGCTTGTGAAGATCATAAATTGTCGTCCCCGGTTTCTTAGTTGTCGATTTAATCATTGTATTGATGAGCGGCTTGAGTTCTTTATGAGATTGTTTGAGTCAAGGGAAGTGCTTGTCAAAGCCATTGTAAGGAACCCGTCTCTCTTGATTTATGACCTTCACAATAAAATCAAGCCTGTCATTAAGCTGTATGAAGGAATTGGTCTTAGCATGGAGGACTTGATTCAAATGCTTCTACAACGCGCTACATTGATTCCAAGAACTTCATTTAATGATGAAAAGATGGAATATATTCGAAAAACCAGGCTCTCAACTGATTCCAGGATGTATAAGTACGTTGTCACGATTATTGGCGTTTCACGCCTTGAAACTCTCCGTCGGAAGATATCTAACTTTGAGAAGTTTGGTTTCTCGGAAGATGAAATCTTTGGTCTTTTGGGAAGCTCTCCCCTTGTGTTTACACTGTCAGTTGACAAGGTTCAGAGGAACATGACTTTCATTATAGGAAAAATGAAGTTCCCCGCTAAAGTGATTCTTGAGAATCCATTTTTGCTGTACTCAAATCTGGAAGCTGTGTTGAAGCCACGGGTATTTCTTGCAGGGAAGATTCACGAACTGGGTCTTGACTTGCAGATTAAAGGCCCTAGGATGCTGACAGCATTGAGGATGACAGAGAAGAGGTTTCTGAAGGCGTTTATTAATTGTCACCCAAAGGATGTTGCTGATGAATTGATGGAATTCTATACAAATGCAAAGAGTGTGAAGCGATTGGCAGAAAACTACTCCAAGAAGAACTTCCATCAAGGATTTCCTTTCTAAATTTCTTTTGCTATCAGGTTTTAATCTTTGGTCCTGAAAGATATCTCGTTATACTTGCCATGTTACATTATGGAGCATTTTGCATATAGCAGCATTGTCTTTCTTTCATTCTGTATAATATTTGGGACTCGATTTATTCTTTATGATTCATGGTCTCTCTCTATCTATCTCTCTTGTTGGCACTACATAGTTACAGAACACCCTTTTTTGGGCAATAGGGAGCATAGTAGAAAATGTTCATAGTAAAAACAAAACGCTGAGAAGTACGGGTTTTATTCTTTTGGCTTGGGAAGTACTAGTCACATAATCAATCAAGTAAATTTGAAGTATTACCCTTATAAGTTTTGCTGATAGATGGACGAGCTGTGTCTTACACAATATAGTTTGGGCAGCAATCACGTTTTCAGAAATATCGATTGGTTTGGCTGCTAATTCTATTGTATATGTTTTGTTCTCTTTGCAATTTTCTAGTTTTTTCTCTCCTGGCTTCCTGTTGGTCTGATGTAGAGCTCTTATGCTGTGCTTTAAAGTTCAGCAGGTACATGGGTTTTTGGAACCCTTATCTGTAATGCATCCTTGTAGATTGATTCCAGGCATTCATAGACCTTTTATTTCAGTAGTTCATCAGACGAGTCTCAGATTCCCGCGTTTCTTAATTAGAAGCGGGTTTTGATTAAAACCAAATTCTCTTTTACTATATATGGTTGTGTTTACATATGTTGTAACGGTGCGCGTGAATTTCATCCCCAGCATCTATTTCGATATTGTGGTTGTGTTGTTGTTGTTGGTATTCGTATTGTGTCGTTGACATTTGCACGAAATAACAGAAAAGTCGGATTCATAGTTCGTTGGGTACTTGTAGTCTCAGTGCTGGTTAAGATGAACTGCATAACTATTAGCAAGGTTTCTTCTCTTATTTCTTACCTAAACAAAATCTGGTGCTTGTTTCTTGTGTCATGTTTTGAAGCAGCAGTTCCGACTATCATTTGTTTTGTTGGGATCGTTTTCCAACTGATAACACAAAATTAAGAATTCCAACTATCCTTTTTTGTTTAGGCCAGAAGAATTCTCACTGGATTGATCAAATAAATACTTAGCTCCTCAAAGGAAGAGTAGGAGTTCCTACTCAAAGCTGTTCGTTGTCGATTCATAGAACTTCATGTTTATGATCATAACTGTTCATATTATAAATCATTCTATAAAGATCTCTTTTGCAAAAAATCAATTAAAACTAAGGTCGTCTAGTCATCAAACTATAAAAACAAATGAACAGAGTTAGTCACGAATTGTCTATATTTGCTACAATAGATTAACTAAAAGGTCGTAGTTTAATTCATTTTTTGCAGAGACGATCTTTATAGAGTGATTTATAATATGAACTATTTTGATTATAAGCATAAAGTTCTGTGATTCTATCACTTACTCATTTAAGTTAAGTACTTAGTCGTTGTCATATTATTCTATCACTAATTGTCTGATTTTCCTTCAAGTTGAGATGAGAGGAGGGAACTTGAGATAAAACTTGGATTCAAGTAATTGAAATCGTCCCTATGAAAGAAAAACGTATTTTTTGAACGTATGCAATTTGATCTCCACTTGCAGAAAAAGTACTTTCACCAACAATATTTTCAGTTATTTTAAAAGTGCTTCCAAACAAGCTCAAATTCTCTGATGTAATGGTATTCAATCTCTCGAACATGAAACACATGATTTGAAGCCAGTGACAGAGATATTGTCACAAGATAAAAGTTGATGGTGTAAGCAATGTGAAACCACTTTCATGGAACAACTTCTAAGTCCAAGTAGTTTCAGAGACGTGGGTAACGATCTATATTCAACTTTTGTAAAAGATTTTGCTACAATGTCACTTCATCTAATAGATTTTGGCTAAGAAATATATAATTATCAGGAAAACTAATGAAAATAACTTGAAAATTTTGAGTTTTAACGATAAAGACAAAATAAATGATAAAATAAATAGTATTAGGATTGATTTTTTAGTGTAAAAAAGTGATTTTTTTGTTAAAATGAACAGTACTGGAAGTTTTTTATTAAAATTCTCATAATTATTACTCATAATTTCGGTCAAAAACACATCTGGTTAAATCTAATGAATAAACGTGCATATTACATTATTTATAGTATTTTCTTTTTATTAATAATTCAACCACCATTAATTGAGTTGCATTATTTATAGTATTTTCTCGTGATGAAATTGTGAATGAAAAATGCACAGAGGTGCCACATTGGCAAACGATTCTAAGTTTACGGGTGAATTATAAAAACTTCTATTCTAAGTGGCAAATACACAAAAGAGGAAATTTCAGGTGACGTAAATGCAATTTTCCAAGTTCATATGCTCGCATATGAATTTTAATCTTCCAAACAGGCCCCTAAAAAGGTCCGAGGAAATGAAGGTATAAAGTAAAAATCCTGTCACCGTCCCACTGAGCTCAGCTGCTGCTGTAGATCGACAGAGGGAGACTCTTTGGCTTCTTCTTTCATTGTTTAAATTCTATGGTCTTTTGAGTGAATGGCTTCATCTCTTTTCGCAAGGACTCTCCTGGGTCATCGCCTTTTCCACTCTTCCTCTCACTCTCTCTGCCAAAAGCCCCAGTTTTTCACTTCCCTCGTCCACGTAAGTATCAATCTTCCATTCTTTCGTGTTTAATTTTCGGTTTTGATTTGTGGGTTTTGTTCTTTTGGATGATATGTTAATTCCCTTTGTGTAAATTTTCGATCTTTTGGTTTTATCCTGTCACTTTTTTTGCTTCCATGTTTCTGTTTTTTTGTATTTTGTTCATGGGTTTTAGTTTTATCGGTGAATTGAGTTGTCTGGAATGCTTTTCAGGTTTTTGCTGACATGGGGTTTTCTTTGTTTAATCCGAAGTGGCATGTGGTGATATTTTAGTTTACCATTGTGTAGGCTTTGAGTGTAGTTTTTATGAACATGGTCTCGGTTCCTGATTGCATTCGTTGAGCCTAGCAGCTCTTGCTTGACTCCAATAGCCATGAACTGAAAAAGATGGGGAATTTGTTGGAGTCTGCTTGTTTGTTTTCTAAAATCTGTCTTTCATAGTCGCTATAATATGAAGTATTTGGTGTTGTACCTTAGCTTTACTGTATAAATGCATAGTTCCCGCAGTGGGTTATTGGCTACGTGTTTAATTAAATATCGTTTAGACTGTAGAGTGCTTGAATACCGATTGTTTAGCTGTCTCTTACTTACAAGATAGTTTTCATCAAATCGTTGAAAATCCTATGTTCTCTTAGGCACAAGGGTTATATAAAGATGTTGGTTTGGTGTAAGTGTTTGCAGTGAAATCATTGAAAACATGCATTCTTCCTAGGGTGGGTACAAAGTTTACTGCAAACTCTTCTTAACTCAAACGTTAGGTTTTATGGTCTTCTTCTGGTGCAAAGTTTAAGTGGCTATTTCTGAATCGCCATGATCCTCACATTTCTCAGTGATAATATTGTTTTGGTTTTGCGTGTCTATTTGGAAGTTTGTTTACTTGGTATTTGAGTTCGGTATTCATTTTAAAAGTGTGCTAGTGGCCTAGTAAGTTTGAGCTATTTATTAAATCGAATCTTATTTCTTATGCCAAGATGCAATGTGATGATTTTTCTGTACATGCAGAAGGGAACAGAATTCTTACGAGCTAAACCTGCCTATACGAAATATAGAACATCTGCCTGGGTTCCTCATGTTATGGCTTCATCAGTAGCTGGCACAAGAGCTGATTTTTCAACACAATCTGTGTCTACAAATGAGCCTGTTGTTTCTGTTGATTGGCTCCATGCTAACCTCAAAGAGCCTGATCTGAAGGTACCATGTCTTGGCTTGTTTGTATTAAACATAATTTATTCATCCTCCCTTTTCTTCCACTGGAGTTTAAGTTTGGAAAAAGTTGAATATAATACCATTTACCAAGAAATGCTTCATGCTCAGTGCTCTTTCACCTTCTATTGTATGTAATTTGTTTTTCAGTCGGATCATGATGTATTATATCAAATCATCTTCTTCTAATTGGAGACTACACTTTTTTTCTGCTTTCCTATATGCTTCCTTTGTTCCTATGCATGTTGGTGAATTTTTTAAGTTATCTACTTCAGGTGCTAGATGCGTCTTGGTACATGCCCGATGAGCAAAGGAATCCAATTCAAGAGTATCAGGTGCTCACCAAACTTTCTATTTGTGATAGTCATAACTTTAAACTGTCTTTTTTTTTTTCTCAAAAATTTAATTCTGGACTGCTGCCGCCATGTAATAATTCTTAATAATATATGTATCAACTCCAGTCTTGTTCTAATATCGTCATATTACTTCATATTGCTTCATATTGTTTCACTTACCACTCTGGCTCATTTTGGTCAATTCAATATCTCCGTCATGACAGGTTGCTCACATTCCTGGTGCACTTTTCTTTGACGTAGATGGAATTTCAGATCGCAATACAAAAGTAAGATATTTTCTATTCTATGTTTCTCGTCAAAATATGATATCAGATCGCACTAGTCTCGCTTGCTGTAAATGATTTATTTCATTCTCTTAGTTTGAGTTAACTTAGAAATACATCCTTATTTAGCCATTTTGGAAAATAATTCAAAGTATATGATTAAGATGTTAGTATTAATCTGATGAATGATTGTTCAAGTCAACAAATTCTGATGAATAATTTAGCCATTATGGGTGTGTGCGCCATCATCACTAGGCATACACACCACTTTTCTAACTATCTTTCTCTCTCCTGTTCTCTATTTATTGAAGATTTAGAAATGATGACTTGTAACAGTTACCGCATATGTTACCATCAGAGGAAGCATTTGCTGCTGCTGTTTCTGCTCTTGGCATTGAGAACAAAGATGATCTAGTTGTGTATGATGGAAAAGGGATCTTTAGTGCAGCTCGTGTATGGTGGTAAGTTGTGGGGCTGATTCTGAAAGATTTAAGGTTTTAACTCATCTGAAATGTAATAAATAATTGTGCTCTGCGCTTTTCATTGTGTTACAATCTAATGCTTCATTTCCTTATAAAATGAAAGGATGTTCCGAGTATTTGGCCATGACAGAGTCTGGGTTTTAGATGGAGGCCTGCCAAGATGGCGTGCATCTGGATATGATGTTGAATCTAGTGCCTCTGGTGATGCAATTTTGAAAGCTAGTGCTGCCAGTGAGGCAATAGAGAAAATATACAAGGGACAAGCAGTAAGTTCACAGTTTATATACTTGTCTCTGAAATCTGTTATGTTTTGACACTGACAAGGATTTTGGAATTCTCTGAATCCAAAAGCCATTAGCATATGGTTATGGTTATTACAGTATGTTTTGTGGAACATGGATAAAAGCAGAACTGCCACCGCTACCGGATATCATAATGCTTTTTTGTTTTCTTTTATGATGTTAGTCTGTACATTGTAGATTTTTCTTGACATCTAGAAAATTGCTGTTCTTACACAACTTTTATTGTTGTCCTAAGTTTTTATATGAACCTGTGATAGTTTTCAAGGCTTGTTGTGATGGATTCAGTGAATGAAATTTTGTTCTGCAGGTTGGGCCCACCACATTTCAGACTAAGTTTCAGCCACACCTTGTCTGGACTCTTGATCAGGTTTGGTCTCTCTATCTTAATTAACTAGTAAGGGTGTATGTCTTGAATTCATCCCCTGAAATTGGTGGCAAGTATGGTTTTCAACTGACAAATTAAACCCATTCCACTTCTTTTTACCCTTGTTTTATATTTCCTACTGTATTTTTCAGGTTAGAAAAAATGTTGAGCAAGGAACTCACCAGCTTATAGATGCCAGATCAAAGGCCAGGTACTCTTTTTGCTACCAAGTGATGTGAAGCTTGAGTAATTCTTGGTCTGTTATTTTTTCCCGTAATTTTGTGAATCACCAGCTGGAACCGGTTCATTCATTCATCGTCAAAGAATTGGTTTGAAATTAGTAATTTTGATTGAGATAAGATAACACTATGTTGAGCACCCTAAATTTTCTGTGTTTTTTTATCTGCCTCACATAAAGGAATTTATTTCAGATTATATGGAGATGGTTTATTAGAGTTTATTTTTCCTATTTGTGACATGGTTTTGAAGGCATATTTCTTATGGCTGTTCTTGCATTAATCTTGGATTTAACTGAATTTTGTAATTGCATTAAAAATATTGGATTTGAATCATTTGACAGAAATTTGCTGTTGCAGGTTCGATGGAACTACATTAGAGCCTCGGAAAGGGATAAGAAGTGGTCATGTACCTGGAAGCAAGTGCATTCCTTTTCCTCAGGTAAAAAGATCAAATGCTTGTGTTATTATAGTGGTTTCCTGATGACGCATCCCTAGGGTTTGTGATGATTCTATCAGTGTCTGAACTGTTAGCAATTTCAACTCCCCTTTTCCTAATAGTCTATTTCTTATTCCTTTTGAAATTGCAACACAAATGTGTTGGATTGTGTAAAGAACCGTATGCTGCATAAGCTGTTGATTAACAAATGTGTTGTTTCCTTACAGTTGTTGGATTCTTCAGGGACACTCTTACCAGCAGATAAGCTGAAAGCCCGATTTGACAAAGAAGGTAATAACCTTTTTGTTTTATGGTTACCTTTTGCTGTCTTAGATCTTGGACACTTCTGTTTGTTGTACCCTAGGTTTCCGTACACAAGAATTCAGTTTTCAAGCATTGTCTCTTTTTTAAACATACAAGCTCAACCGCAAACGAAGAATGCATGTTTTGCCTAGTACATTTGCTCAGACTAGTACATAGATGTTGAATGTCTTACTATTTTGAGATAGTCACCCCCTCATTTAGCAGTGCATAATTTTACCGAAGACCCAATTTCCCCACCCCAGTTTATGGAAAGTATATATATGCTATTTGTCCACGCCATGTGGATTATATTTCCTTGGTAGAATGTTTTAATTGGTCAGAAGGTATATGTGATAATTAATTAACGATCCTAACCTCATGCTGCAGGCATCTCCTTGGAAAGCCCTGCCGTAACTTCATGTGGTACTGGTGTAACAGCTTGTATTCTCGCATTGGTAAGACTCTCTCTCTCTCTCTCTCTCTCTCTCTCTCTCTCTCTCTCTCTCTCTCTCTCTCTCTCTCTCTCTCTCTCTCTCTCTCTCTCTCTCTCTCTCTCTCTCTCTCTCTCTCTCTCTCTCTACAAACACACACACAGAGACAAACGTAGGTGTTTGTGTGCGCGCACACTTGTTTATATCTTAGTAGGATGAAAAGGAGATAGTAGTCCATCTTTTATCTCCTTTCTCTTTCCTTTTAGAGATAGAAACACATTACAGAGATGAATATTCTTTTCAATAATTGCTCATGAACGTAAACAATGGTTTTAGTTTTCCAGATGCATTATTTCAATATATGTTTTAGTAAGGAACCATGCCGCTTTTATTCACACTTCTCGTATTCATGTGCTCTCGTTAGGGTCTTCATCGACTTGGTAAGCCTGAGGTACCAGTCTATGACGGATCTTGGACTGAATGGGGTGCGCAGCCCGACACACCCATCGACAGTTCTACAGAAAGTGTGTAACGAAGCGGTATTGCCGGAAACTTGTATCACAATTAAAACATCCGGTTACAAGTCATGCTGTTGAATTGAAACCTGTGTTTTTCGTTTAAAATCTCAACCTCTTATGTCCTCCTTTGAACTGTAACGAGTTTCTTGTGTGACACGTGAATCAAAGCAGCAGATTGAAGGGGTTTATTTCAAGTCGAAAACCTTGTAATCATCCCTGGCTTGACAAAGTAAATAAAGTTCTATTTCCATATTTCTTGAACTTGTCACACTTCCTTTCCGTGTTGAAAATACTAAAAGTGACCTTGAAAGTTCTACGGATTTTTAATGACTAATTACGGAAAATCGAACTTTGTAACTAGTCAACTTTAATTATAAAATTAACGGAAAAGAAAAACTAAAATAAATTCGTGTAAATACGAAATACGAGAATTTGAATACTGAAATGGGGTCGTCCTTCCTCCATGTAAAAATTTCGTTCTCGAAATTATCAGTATCTATCGCATAACATGTAGCTCAAACATTAACGATGCTACATATGCATAACAAGGATTCAAACCAGCAATGCCAATCGTTTGAGTGTCGTCCTAGTTACCCTGGTGGGTGTCCCCTTCTAAGGAGCTTCGGCTTGCAACAAAGCAGGTGGTCGGGATCGGATTTGAATCGGACGAAATATTTTCGAACTTTTCAGCTCGGAATCGGATATTTCTATCCAATTTGCATTCCTAAATGAAACCAAATCTGAAGAAAAAGAAAACAATTTAAATAAAATATTATGGTAAAATTGTCAACACCTGATCGCGTGGCCTAATGGATAAGGCGCTCGCCTCCGGAGCGGGAGATTGTGGGTTCGAGTCCCATCGCGATCGTTTTTTCATTTTAATCATTTTTTTTTTTTTGGCTGAGTTCAATTTCTTGTTCTTCATGATGGACCTAATGGGGGCAGATTTGAGAAAACTAGAGTCCCTCTCCCCCACCATGGAAAATATATTAAGAAATTGTAGTAATTATAAATTTCAAGTATAATGGATTCATGATTTTTCAGTTTCACAATTAGACCCTTTTTTATTATACATACAACGATAGTAGAGAAGAGAGGTTTAGAACACAGACTTACGAACGAGGGATAGAGATGCTATTTGCCACTTAAGCTACAACATTCAACTATGACTACCATGGTAAAATCACGCCCACTACGTATATTAGGCATGTTATATTATTAAAGTGTCTAAAGTCAATCATAATTAATAAATTTGCTTAGGTAAAGTCTAGTCAATGAGTTTTATTCGAGTAAAAAAAAATTATGTCGGAATTTATATTGAAAAAAAAAACTAAATTTTAGGGATTAAAGTCATATTTCCAAATTTTATAATTGAAATATAATGCATGATCTAAAATACCAATCATCGAAGCATTGAATTTACAAACTAATTATGTATGCAGTCTATGCACCAAACAACACAAAGTTAACAGAGATTTTCTTCTTTATATATATATATGCAAAGTTTGTTTCTCACGCATTCCAACTGTTCATCAATAAGCGTAAATCATAAACCAATATTATCTTAAACTTAATCGCCTAAACCTAATAATATGCGTGTCTTAGGGCTCCCTGAGCATTTCAGACATGAAATTTTATTTTAAAAGATCTTGGTGCAATTAGTAGTAAACCACCAACTTTTAAGATTTCCTAAGCCAGATTACACCACCAAAACCAAAACTTCTATCCCTCATTGCATTTTTATAAACATGGCTATGTGTACTGTCGGATCAGGTAGCCAATCTCAATGTAGAAAAAAAGATATTTGGAGAAAGAAGAAACACTGAAAAAGGATACAAACTGGAGTAGTAGGCACAAAAACTGCGTTACAAGCTCAGTTGAGAACACCAGGTTCTTAATATAAAGAAGTCCAACAGCCATAGGAGGGGACTCAAGGACCTCATATATCAAGGCTAAAATGAGCACAAATTATTCCTAGCCCTATGCTCGTGGAGAAAATTCTTGAGTACGACTACTATCGTGTGAGATCTGCGTTCATGGGAGCCACCCATTGTAGGGGCTACAACATCCGCAAGTTCCTAACCAAAAGTTTGTTACCTCTGATTTGTCAACCCAAACGCGTTTTCATCTTCTCGTGTGCGTTGGAGGGAACCAAACATTTTCTTTGTGAAAATTGAAGTCTTGCAGAAGTGCTTAAATGGTTTTAAGTTGAACGCTTACATTCTAATATTTTAAAATCTTTTTCATTGCTAGTGCTAATTCAAAGGCTTAGCATTTGTTTTATTTTTTTTCTCTCTATGAATGAGAGTATCAAATTGAAGAAAGTTGAGGTTCCATTATAAAATTAATTGACAATATAGAGAGTAGCTCAACTTACTTATAAGCTCATGCAAAGTCATTCCTCACATCAATGTGGACAACACAACATGGTGATGTGGAGCAAGTGTGGCCATTAGACTTTACAAGCGGGATAACCTACTCTGATACTATGAAGAAAGTGAATGTTCTATCATAAAAGTAATTAATAATATAAAGAGTAGTCAAACTTACTTATAAGCCAATACAAAGTTCCTTCTCCTATTAATGTGAGATTCATTCTCAACCAAAATTATAAATATAGAAAAAGAGGACTACTAGATAATTCGAATTGTCACCATCAAACCGCCATAACCATTCACAAAGATGATTGCGAAGCTGCCTGTTGTTTTCTTCCAATTTTTTTTATGGGATTCTCTTTTTTTTTTTGGATTTGTGACATAATTTTAGATCATGAAAATGACAAATAATTCTAAGGAAACGACCAAACCGACCATGTTCTTCGAAGTTCAAAATATCAAATTGCAAAGGAGGCAACTGTCCATAGCCAAATTCCAAGCTTCTTTTATCATATAATTCATTATACAAAAATAAGATAATTATAAAAGCATGCGAAACTAAAAAAAAGTCGTAAAAGTAGACCGACCACATCTAATGAAAGTCAAAATAGTATTCCAACACTATAGATTATGATAAATTGGCAGAGGAGCGTGTGATCTAAAATTGTAATAATTTTTTCTTTTTAAATGGAAAAAGATTAGACGAGATTATCTTTCGGCAGTGATAGTGTGTGAGGCGCCTATTATCTTCTGAAGGGATGAGGATCATTACATCCAGAAACCATCTGCTCGTCCATTCTTCACCAAATTTCTTGATGATAAATTGCAAGATAATTCACGTGTAGTGTTATGTGATTTATTTGTGAATTAGCAAAAATTTATATGAAAAACAGGCAAACAAATTCACATTTTTTTGAACAAAAGTTCAAAGTGATTGGTTTCGAATTCTTCATTCATGGAAGATGAATATAAAACATTAAGTGAGGAGAAATACTACTAGACTATAACGCTTGTATTTAACCAAATATTTAAAATAAAGGTGGATTCATGTTCAAGAAGCTTGTAAATCAATTGGTTAAAAGCATAAGCTCTTAATTTTGATGTCCTAAGTTCAATTTCTCATTCCCCACTATATCACTATATAGAAGGAAAAAAAAGTGAGTTGATGTCAATGTGCAATAGGTCACTTTGTCAAGACAAAAACACCCACTTCTTTTGCACTAAAGTTTGAAATATCCTTCCCACAATAGAGAAAAATAAAAGTGTTCTCAAATTTAGAAAAAAAATCTACTTCCTAATTCCTTCACACAAAAAGGAGAGCTTTGCCAACAAGGGTTAGTTAAGTTAGTAATATTGTTCTCTTCGTTAGACCAAGGCCTAAGTTCGTGTACATTGCTGCCACCAATCGTTTTTTGTGTGCGATCTGTAAAAACCAAAAATGGTTCTAAGACCCCTTTATAAGCCCTCAAATATAGCCTCCCCTCCCTCTAAACTTAAAGTTAAAGCAAACAAACAAAAAGGAGGGTTCACAACATCCATGGGGATTCTCCTAGGCTAGCCTAACTCTGTTCTTAACTAACCTTGTCTAATGTACTAAAATTATAATATAAGTGATTGAATATTTAAAAAAAAAAACAAAACAAAAAAACTTTCAACCACTTATATCATAATATTTGATGTTCCAGTATACTGATAAAATATCTCTCGATCAACTCGTAACATTCTAGTAATATCTCAACCCAATAAGGGCAATCCTGGAACATGAACATTGTCTTCATCCAATTGACTTAGCATCAAAGCGAATAAAAACAATAAATTAGTAACAAAAACATGATTTTTACAAAAGACAGAGATATCAAATCCTCCAAACCCCTTCTGAGTTACGAGCAGTTATTAAATTATTGGGAGGTAGCCAAAAATTAATAAAATCTAAAATTTTGAACAGGAAGAGCGAGAAAGTGAAGCAAAGTGAGGGTTTTTATTTCTTGTTTCTTATTTCTCATATTTTTGAAATCGGGCTTTTTGATCTGCGGTCACAAAGACTCCTCCTTTTTCTCTGATTCAGTAACGGTGGGCCGGTGGCTGGTTCACTGCAGCCTTCCTGAACCCAAAAGATTTAAACTTTGGAGCTTTCTGGGTGCAAAAGCGTTGTTCTTTCAATCAATCAGGTACTTGGTGGGTTTAATTTCATTTCTTTGTGTTAATTTGACCTAGTTCTTGTTTGATTTTTGTTTTTGGATTTTTTCTGATCGTAGTTTGGTTTTCTGGGGTTTTCCGGATTTTGATCTGTGAGTGGTTCAAGTTGTTTTTATGGATAGATACATACATATATGTATGTATGTATGTATTTGTGGATTATACTTGATGGAATTGTGAAGTGAGCTATTAAGGTCATGATTCGTTTGGCTTGTGATTGTTAATTGGTGAAGGAATTTTTTTTATTAATCCATAAAAAAAGAAGGAAATTTTCATGAAGTTGTTTTATTTATAAATGATTTGTTTTGTTTGTGATGGTTTATGATTATTGATAGGTATATTCGTCTGCGGCTATATATAATCAAGCTTAAAACTCAAGGATCAAATTCTGTTCTTCGTCTACGTTTTTCGTTAATTGTAGCTCGCAGTAATTCTGTAGTTTTGGTTTCTCACATTGACTGAAGAAACAAGTAAAAAAAAAGAGAAAATACTTTATCCGTTTGATCAGAGTTGGTTGTAGCTGAATCCTACACACATACAAGGTGGGTGGCCAATCGGGTTTGAAGAAGTTAGTTGGCTAAGGTAGTTAGAAATTTAGGTGTGGAAGTGTTAAGGCTCGACCTTAAGGATTTAACAATCCTTTTCAATAGGGTGGGAAGGACTTCTTATGGTATGATTTGTCT